GCAACATCTATTTTTAGCCACCTTAACGATCGTAAATGTCTTTGCTCTCTTTAAGGCTGTTGTTTACCTTACGATTTGTACAAAACTAAATATAATCTCTATTTTGTTTTCTGTACAACTACATAAAGTACCGCAGAAGTGCCCACTTCGTGCCAGTGCCCATTATTAACATTTCCCACACTTAGGGAGTTTGGCAAGTTATACATTAAACACCGTCCCTCAAAAGCACCGGCATCAGCCAGAAATAATCACCCCGTTGTGGCGGCCTCCAGACTGCCAGCACCAATGCCGAGGGTATTACGTGAAAAGAAATGTGCTTCCTCTGATTTCGTGCACCCTGCATTCGAAGCCTCTTATTGGCTGCCATCCTGGTTTCTAACAATTTGGCTAAACAGCGGAAGTGGGGTAGGTGCTACCTCGGTGTTTGTGGTATGTATATATGGTAGATCGGAATGTTTTGCTTGTCTGTTGTGTACTGGATGTACGGACTGTAAAGGGGAAAAAAGAGACTTTTGTCAGGTATTTATGCCTCCAGTCTCTGTCCCCCTTGCAGTTGTTCCGAAATACACTTCAATTGAAATATCCCAGCATCTCCTCGGCCGGCTTGCTAGAGAGAGCGTCTTAGCTTGGACTGTGCGAAAGAAAGCCTACCCAGCCTGGGGCATGCGAACGCTTAAGACTCAACTTCACATTACGCACCGCTCATGCGCTAGCTTTGGCAGTGCTTTCTTTCACACAGTCTTGGCCGAGACGCTGATTCTAGCAAGCCGCCCCAGGGGTTTCTGTAATGCGAGTTACACTGAAAAACCTGTCTGACTTGAAGTGTAACATAAGGTCTGCAGTAGAACCTCGGTTTCCAGCAATAGATTTTGCTACCTTCAATAGCACTTCAGCTCACGAGCATCAAAAGCACAGCGGCAATGAGCAACACTGCGACGACACTTTCGATCTGAATGCAACTGGAGGCTGAACTTCTCCTGCAGATGTCGTATTGGAATAGATTATAGCGCAGTAATGTTGGAGAAGCAAAGTGTGAGGAAACAGATGCTTACCTCCTGAAGCTGAGGATTTTCCTCGAGCACTGAAAGGGCATAGGCGACCGTCTCGACTGTAGACAGACACTCCCGCGTCGGTTGGGTGCGAATGACGTAGCTGCTCGTCCGATTGGGGTTAATTTGAACCTGGAAGCAAACAAAGAAAGACGGTTAGTTTTATTAATTACTAGGCTCACAGTTTGAGAGACTTCACCTGCCATCTTTTATAATCTTACAATAGTTGGGAGACCATGAAACTTTTAATATTCACAATGTCAATGCAACTAGTCTTCTTTTCATTTCAGTTTACCATTTTTGCTCTTATTGATAAATATTCTGACAACGCTACAGCAACATTGTGACATCACTTTCGATCTAAATGCAACTGTCCAACAGGTTTGTCATGCTCCCACGAGCCGGAGCACAGTCAAATTTACGAGCTGATGGTACCAACCAAGCAGTGCTGAAATCGCATTGTCAAGGTGCTAATAGTCTCTCCTTTCATATGTTATTGCCAGCTAATCCAATGGAGAGCAAAGAGAGTAGGGTGAGCTTGCACTTTTAGTCTGGACACAAGTGTTTCTGTATCTCCAGCTTTTAACTGCACTTGTGACCCTCGATCAAACCAAGTATAACCACTCTCTCGCACCGTCCCCTTCAGCCTCTTTTTAGCCTTACAATTTTCTCTTTCTCCCTTTTACATTGTCTTTCCTTTTCCCTCATTCGCTCCTTTTGCCATGTTCCCCATTTCCTCGATGTCCCCATTTCTCCTTGTTTCCCTATCCCCACATTTCCCTAGTTGTAAAGTTTTTCTACTTATGCTTGTCCTGCACTTCCCCTAGTTTCCTATTCTTTCCCCCATCTCCCTGTTCACCTTTTCTCTTGCTCCCCATTTTTCATCTAGTAGTGGAAAGAATAAAACGGACGAGACTAAACACAGACAGGCACACTCTTTCAACTTGCAACGACGTCTATTTCCATGTACAATTCCCGGTTTCGCACGCTCCTTAGGGAAAGGGGGAGAGGGGGAAAGGCAAAGGGCAGAATTTGGGACAGGAGAAAGGGGAAGGGTATGAAAAGGAGAACCGACAGCCTCGGAAGTAATTGCCTTTTAAGGTCACTAGGCAAAACCGGAAAGTTCCCTGTCTAGGAACCCCATTTCTCTCTCGGAAGAGGCCAACAAGGGAGATCAAACATTGACCATAGGGTTCTTAATGGCAAACAACTCAATCGCCTCCCTCCCAATCTTTGAGAATGGTGCTTGAGCATGTGTGCCTCCTCAAACTTGGGCACACATTCGTTGCAGCGACAGTGGTGTGTGGCAATCGGATGCCTTCTTCTTTAGTACCCGCCAACTTCTAGGGAATGCTTAACGTTTGTCCGATGTATTCTCCAAGCAAGTGTGATTGAGTAAGTTCTGTTTTCTTAGAGCGCAGCTCTTAGGTGCCCGTTTCCGGCTTGAGCGGCGTCACCGTCGGCATAACCAAGGTCACCCCCGAAGTCACGTGACCCCTCCCAAGGTCACATGACCCCCCAAGGTCATGTGGCCCCCTCCCCGAGGTCACGTGCCCCCCCCCCCCCCCCCGAGGTCAGGTGACCCCCCCCCCCCCCCCCCCCCAGAGCATATCAAAGAATGAGGGGAGGAGAAGGAGGAGGAGGAGGGGTCTACCCTCCCCTCAGTACCCTTCCCTCGTCCTACTCAAGAGCTGCGCTTCAATTCAGCGTTACAGGGTAACGCTGAATTGGAGCGCAGTAAACGCTCCAATTCAGTGCAGAGTAAACGGCTTTCACTTTTTGCCTGGTACACACCAACACGCTCCACGCTCGTTACAAATATTCCCAATTTTTCTCTATTTTTCCTTGTTCCACACTTTTGGTACAGTGTGGGGTATGCAGTAAGCTCACCTGTCTTAGCCTATGGAGGTGGGGGCTATTGTGGAAGAGTGACCTTGCCTGGGACCAAGTCCCGTCGAGCAAGACCAGGTTGTAGCCGCGGCCCCGTTCTCTAACAGTAGGGAGGTCCTCTAGGGGCTCGGCGTTGGGGCCAGGGTACAGGACCAGCGTGTCCCCTAAGGAAGGTCCTTCATCGCCATCTAGCATTGCATTCAGGGCCCCGTGACGCTCCCTGGAGAAGCGACGGCCCCTCAAGACGACGCAGTGTTCGCTGTCCAGAGCAGCTTCGAGCATGGGAGCCGTGCGGAGGTTTCGTTTCACCTAGGGAGTCGGGAAGATGAAGTGCAACCGCCCAAGGTTGTTACAAGCAAGCTGGTCAATACTTGACATGACTGCGCCTGAGACGGGGAGGGAAAAGAAATACACAGAAAAGAGGGACAACACAAACTGTCTATAAGGTTGAGAACTGGGCTAGTTAGTATTTGTTATACAGTGCTCGCCCTGTGTCAGTGGCGTAGCAAGGGGAGAGGCTTATGAGGCTTCAACCCCCCCCCCCCCCCCCCCCCCCCCCCCCGAAATCCAGCCAACCCTATAAATAGACATGCATTTTGATCCCCCTCCGTCTCTCCCCCTCTTCGCACCCCAAATCATGAACATCCCAGCCACCTCATCACCCCCCCCCCCCCCTCAAAAACCAATCCTGGCTATGCCACTGCCCTATGTCATTTGGTCGTTCCCCTCCATGTTTTTTGCGCTTTTGAAACCATATTGTGTTTAACAAGCCGTCTGTGGTTTGCTTTGCCCCTCTTTCTATGTGTCTTCCTTTTCCGTCCCTGTCTAAGGTTTAGTCTCACCTGAACTAGGGTCAATTTATGCCTTGTAACTTCAACATTCATTAAAATGGTAAAAATTGTAATCGGCTAAGATCCCACATTCAATTTTGTTTAGTTTGTATGCCTCAGACAGATACTGAAGATGTCTAAAAAAAATAAAAGGCTCGAAACAGATTTCGGTGCCAAAGGGAAAAGATTGTTGCTAAAATTAAGAAGCTCTCGACGCTGAACACCCGGTGTCGCGGGGTGGTGGTCTGTGCGAATTTGTTTCTTTGCTCGCACGAGTGATGTTTCAAAAACACCGTAGCCTCGAGGCAAACCACGACGAGCAACATCCAGCAGCTCATATTCAGGGGCGGGTTTAGAGGGGGGGGGGGTCCGGATGTCCTGATGCCCCTCTTGATTTTTGCATGTGTAAAAATTTAGGGCGTGGAAATGGAAGAGGGGGGCAGGGGGGGGAGCGGTTTTCTAAACATATGGTATGCTGACCAACACCTGACCCCACCCCCCCCTTCTAGAAATTCCTGCATCTGCCCCTGCTCATATTTGCTATTGTCATGGAGGGATAAAAAATGGCAGGCAAGTGCTCCAGTTGTCCCGCCTCCAGTGCAAACTTGTTACCTTCTATCAATGTTACTAGATTAGCTCTGTTGTAGAACTCCTGCAGAGGGAGGTACCCCCTTTACCCTCTTCATTCCACCTTGTGTCGTCTGAAGCGCCATTATATTTTCGTTTTAAAATTTATATGGAGTACGGTGAAGTGCCACCTAGATGCTGTGCATCAAAACATGTGCATTCCGTAGAATTCACTGCAGTTACCATAACAACCGTTCAAAAAAAAAAAACGAGTGTCGAACGACGGGAGGCAGGTTAAAGGGCAACTCCGCTCCATTTTTGTATTTGAGAAAACAATCTCTTCAGTATCACCCAGGGAGACCACATGTCAAATATTATGACCTAGTTCTTTCTAAATGTTTCCTAAACGGTCTGACAACCTTTGCAACGCACCAAGTTACCGAAATCGACTGACTCCAGCGGGAGAACTGAGGTGCAACCAACAACGATTCCAAAGCTGCGGCACTGGCGTAGCCAACATTGAGCTAAACGTCATTACCGTTGCACCTTTTTGTTTGTTTTTACTTCTTCGGGGAAGCGTAATGGGTGACGTCGGCAACCTGTCCTCAGCGCTCAGCGGTGTCCACGTGATTGGCGTAACGCGCCTACGCAGCGCACTTCTTGAGAGCGGTTTGGCCGTCCCGCCGTCACTGCCGTCTCCCGCGTCACAACTGCCGTTGTCGTCTTACTGTACGTGATTATTGTCTCTCAGAGTTTCGTTCACACTACGTGTGCAGACATGCCGCAGTTGTGCAGATGTCGTCAAATGTCGTAGACACCAAAGCGTGGTGAAGGGTGCGGTGCAGACACTGGCGCCTGGCACACACCTGCCCCAACTGTGGCCCGCCGGGTTACCCCGATCCCGCCCCTTGTTGCGTAGAGGATCGCGTGACATCTCGTACCACATGATAGCCGTGTTTTTGGCAACCCGAGGCAACTGTTGCCAGACGAAGCCGAAGTTTCGATTCCGGCTCATGTTTAAAGTAAGATTTAACAATATATATCCTATTTTTCGCAAAGCAAATGATGCAGTGTCCTTTATTAATACTTTTTAATGTGAAACAGCTCATTATCCCGAAATTTTCGGAATTGAGCGGAGCTGCCCTTTAAGAGCACAGTGGAAGCCCTTCCCACCTCTCTCCACTTTAGCAGAGCAAATGCTGGTGAGGAGGCGACTCCTCTCCAGCGCTCACTCTGCTAAAGTGGAAAGAGGTGGGAGAAGCTTCCCTGAATTCTGAGCAACGTTGCCTACGGTAACACTTCGGCGTCCCGTCAGCCTCGAGCACGCATGCGCAGCCAAAGCACAGCGGAAGGCAACATGCGCGAACTAGAGGTTGGTCATCGGAAAGCGGCTGTCTGCCGTTCTCATTCTGAAAATGCTAAGCGCAAGTTCGTCCGCTTCTTCTGCAGGGGTTGCGATGACGTGAGAACGCCGAGCTCTGATTGGCTCAAATTGAAGGATAGTGGGTAGACCTCAAGGCAGCTTGCTTTGAGGTCTGCCCACTGTCCTTCAATCAGAGGTTGGCATGCTGACATCACCACAAAAAGAAGCAGACAAACTTGCGCTCGGCGTAATTACAACTCTCTCTCCCCCCCCCCTCCCTCTCTCTCCACCTCCCTCCCTCCCTCCCCCCTCCCCCTCCCCCCCCCCCCCCCCCCTCCCTTCTTTAATGCGTCACATACCTCTCCAGGATGCTGCAAGATGAAGACCTTGCTTGAAACAGGAACCGGTGTCTCGGGCAGGGACGAACACCAGCACACCGCTGGCGGTCGCCTTGGAGTTGGCGAAAACACGAGAAGTTTAGTTTGCTTTCGTTTGAACGGCGGTACATTGATGTTTGGCTGACGATCGGGCGTTACCTGCACTTGTTGCATAGAGCCCGTTTCGCCGGAGGGTCTGCCAATATGTTGCTGAGGTCGCTGAGGACCTCGGATTCATCTTCACTGGTCATGAGCGCTCACCGATATCAGCGTGAGTGGTCACAAACGTTGGTCACAACCTCATCACGGCTGATGATTGAAATAAATTAACTGAGTGGGCGGTTAACGATTAGTGACGCCAGCCACCCAAACTCGTCCTGTCTCAACACACGGGCGCAGCCATCTTGATCACAGTTCTTGATGGAGTTATCGTGTACCAGACACCATAATGGAGTAGAAAGGGAACCAGATGGGGAGCGCTGCTGGGTTTTTGGGTTTTTCTGGCGAAATTAAAAGACCGAAGGAAACAATTAATGGAACGAAACGAAGGTTAGAAGATTGTTGGAGAAGATCTAGAGACGTGCGACAGCACGCGATATTGGCAAGATAGATAATCTAACCAAAGATACACTTTCTCCGCTAGGTAACGCAAGCTACCACCTATACCATTATTTATCTATTTATATTTATGCCAAGATTCAAGTTCTTAGAATGAACTTTTTTATATTATATTTAAAGATTATTATTATATATATGTAGTAATTTCTAGAACATTAATTTTGTTGTTTTTTTTAACGAATGCGAAACTCCCTGACTGGCTACGAAACTATCGGTTCAGATTTGTCGTCTGGATTTATTTTGAGTTTTTGCTCTGATGTTTTCTGGAGAGATGGAGGAGGCGATCCCCTGAGTTGGTGCGGTTGCTGCCAAGTTTTTTTTGCGATTTGTTTTTCGTGTGTAAAACAGGTATACGGTAGCTGGTTTCGTAACGCTATTACAGCAGGGCGCCCGGAGCGCTTACCCCGAACTGGTCACAGGCACGGAGTCGCATGACAAGTTTCCGCGCAAGAAGTCGCTTTCTTTGTGCTGGTGGTGGACAAGTTTTGTGGCGTTGCAAGGGTGAGGCCTACCATGACTGACAGTCTGTGACCCCGAGTGTTGAACGCTGCGAAAGAAGAGAGCGAAAAAAAAAAAAGAGGCTGGAGATCAAGATAGGAGTGCCGACTTGCTGGGTGCCCGCGCCTCCAAACGATCTGGTGAGCAAAAAACTCCCCGCACACTCGAGCTGCTCGCGCGAGACACCGCGGCAGATTTTCGCGGTGGTTTTCTTTTTGCGCAACTCCGTCTCCACTTCAAAGTTGTCATCTGTCACTACGCGATGCACGCGGTAGACTCTCCGTACATCGTTGGTCCGCTCGTAAGCAGAACGAACACGCTGTCGAACGTTGTTTGACGGTGGTCGCGAAAGGTACAAAAAGAAAAGGTGTTTCCGTTGCACAAGGTACGAATCCGTGTAGCCTTTGCTGGCTGCTTTTCTTGCGCTGAGACGATGCGTATGTATGCATGCACTATTCCGGGGTTTATGAATGTGCAGCCTGGAATGCCCGTGTTGCCCACTGTGCGAAGTCAATCGCGCACTATGCGTATGATCGCTCAAGAAGGTACCGGCCAGGAGCCTGCTTTTTGTCGCCTATCGCTCTCGATTTGTGGAATATGCTTTTATGCTTCTCAATTCTACGGCTCCGCCGGATAACGCCCGAGACCCTCGACGTTTATCGAATGTGGGAACAAACTCCGGAAGTTGGCGCGTTGAAATTTCCTCCGATACCGCTCGCCGACGATCTCATCATCGAGCGATGATTCAACTGCCAAGAAGCGTTTCTCTTTTCTCGTCGTCGTGCTGGCAGTGGAACATGAGAAGCGTTTTTAAAGATGATTCATTCGCTTCCGCGCCCGAAGCGACGTCGTTCTTTTTTTTTCTTTTTACGTCGATGCATAGCTTGGGGGATGATTGTGCTTTGGAACGCGAGAACTTTGATGGGCTCGCATTCTGACGCGCGGAATGTTGAGCGAAGCACTCGTCAATCTTGGAGGGCGCTCTTCTGCTGTGCTCCTGCTAATGCACGGGTTGGGGCCTGCAATTTTTGACGGGGATACCCAGGGTGAGCGGTGCGCGCTTTCGGTGGGTGGAAACATTATAGCAGTTCGTGCCTGCTGGAAGCGAGGGAGGGCAAGACGTCGTGCTCAGCCGGCACAGTGATTACCGCTCTACTACGCGGCACGCGAGGGTTTCTAGTCTATTTTTTTTTTTCTGCTCTTTTTGCGTGTGTTGAAGCATACCGACGGTACCGGAACTAACCGGGAACTTCTTGGAAGCTCGCTCGCGAAGCTCCGAATGAAGTAGAGGGAATTCTCTAACGTAGTATGTGCGTTTCAGCCGCTCGTGTGATCCGAAAAAAGCCCCACGTTGGGTCCAAAATAGAAATGGAACGATCGTTTTTTTTTTGTTTGTTTTTTGTTTTGTTGCTTCCCCGTACGTCGAGCCCCCTCAGCCGTCGAGTCTGTCTTGTCCTGTAGCCCGGTAGCCGCCCAGAGGTCTCAAAAATTGTGGGGCGGCGTCTTAGTTGCTGCGGTGTCTCGTAGGTGGAGCCACGCGACCTGCCGTCATTCTCGAAGTTGCGGCAGTCCGACGTACATACGACTAAGAAATTAACCGAGTCACATACACTGCGTTGGAGAAAAGACGATCGTGCCATGGCCTGACGCGAAGGACAGCACGAGCACTTTTTGAAATAAACAAAAAAGAGCTAGGACAGGAGAACATATTTTTGTTGTTTTCCTCCTTTCTCGTTAACATTTATGGCAGCACTCAGTTAGTCGAACGACGTTTTAGCAAACGCCGACCTTTCATCGAAATACACTTTAGCGAATAAGCGGCGGCCGCCAAGCGGCATTCTCGGGTGGGCCAGGTGGGTTAGCATTTTTGTCACGAGCTACAGCCTAGGGAGGCTCAAGTGAGGGTGGGTGCAACTGCTAGATCGGGGATCACGGGACATGGACGCCATTTAATTGCTAAATTTTGCTGGGAGTCTATGGGGCAAAGGGTCGTTTTATTTCCTAACTCAGGTCATAAGAGCCCATTAAGGTGCTTGAATAATTTATACAAGGTATAAATGATTACTTTTCCATAGCCACCAGTTTTGTTGCGATGGGTTAAGTATTTTTTTAACGCGAAAAATGGTAAATTCCGCCATCTTGGACGTTGCTGCTTGTCTGGCAACTTTGCTTTCTCCGCTCGACGTTTGCAATTCTCGGAGCGAGAAGGAAGCGAGATAGGCTGCGCCAAGGCGCCCGTTGCTTGCAATGGGAGGCGAGAGGAGGAAAGACGCATGGAGCAACAGAGTTGCAACAGAGCGGGCGCCTGCTCTCGTGCAGGCAACACTGGAGCATTTCCTTTCTCAGATTGGTGGAAATTATCTAGGGAAAATTAAATGATGGACAACTAACTAGCACAGCTGGGAACAGGCGGGACAGAGGAAAATTGGGACTCCCTCCCGCGTGGCTCCGGCCCAAAGTCTCAACCCTGTCTCCCAGTGGGTCCGGTGCTGGGGTAACGCCGAAAAGGTTTGACCAGAGGAAAATTGGTGACTCCCTCGCCGGGGGGAGGAGGCAGGGGGGTGATGTTTTTTAGTTTTTTTGCCCGATCCCCCAAAGGTCATCCTGGTGATATCCCACACTGCCTGGTGATAGTTAGGGGGAGAAAAATTGGTCTTAAAAGGGCGGGAGGAATCACGTTTTTGTCTTTTTAGACTTAGGCTAGGTGGCGCAAGCTACCGCCCGTTACAAAGGGAACAGCCATTAACATCCATCCATCCATCCATCGAATCCTCTCTAAAGTGAACTAGAGTTCACTTTATCCTCTCCCTCAGGCGCCGCCATTAAATTACAAACGCTCTCCAGGTTTTGAGTTGCGCCCGCCCTCACTACAGCCTCCCTACTACAGCCTACCGCACACTGCCGCCGCGGAGCGGCGTGCAGAAAAACTTCATTCGTTCATGTGATATGGACCCGTGATTTTCTGAAAATTCCAATAATATCGTGGTAATATATATATACAGGGTGAAACAAGGAGACGGCAGGCTCTTTAAATCGACCGGAAAATTAGGTTTCTTAACATATCGCGCTACGACTTTGTGCAGCGTTGCCCACAGATGGTGATTTTTTTTTTTTTTTTTTTTTTTGTAAAATTTGCAAAGAGCGAACTTACCTGAGGAAAAAGTAAAGAAAGAAAAAGATTTAGCTCCTATGGAAACGCAGCGACGCCACCGGTCTGGCCCAAGTATACTCGCACAGACCGCCACGGAATTAGAAGCTCCTTTGTCGCGAGGATAAAAGGGGACTATTTCTTTATAATTATAATGCAACTAAATGCAAAGGTGCAAGCGAGCTGGACAAGAATGACGAAAATAATCCCCGGAGAAGGGGAACAAGAGGGACAAAGGACCAGCAGATTTATGTTGGTCCTTTGTCCCTCTTGTTCCCCTTTTCCAGGGATTATTTTCGTCACTATTTCTTGCCTTCGCTAAGCTCGATGACGTAACTGGGGGATCGAAACCACCCACCTGACGACAATCGAGTGCGACTCACCGATTGATCACGAGAACTGCGTGAGCACTCGACTTGGGCTCGGAACAATTAAGGCCTGGGCGAACATTCGGGTAGTGGCTCGTCTCCAAGCGCTGCGGTCATGAGAATAGCCCAACTCTAACAATGCTCGGAGCTCAGCGCGCGTTCTCTTCATTGCCAGCCCCAGCGCGTGGTTGTGATTAACGCTGGCGGCATAGGATAGGCACCTGGCCACATGGACGCTTGTTCCGGCTCCGAGTTGAGGGGATGAACGATGCTCATATTTTTCGAAAATTTTTTTGGCGACTGCCATTGCCTAGAAAGAAAAACCAAGGCAAGTTTATTCAGCTGTGAAGGTCAGGGAGTGATCCTAGATATTTAGCGAAAGTAGGAAAAATGAAAGACGTTTACAATTCTCTGTAATGCCGATTAAAAGCGCAGCTCTTGGCAAGGAGGTGGGGAGGGTACGGAGGGGAGGGTCACGTGTGACGTCACGAAGGTAAAAATTTCCCGCTAATTTTGGCGGAAATTTTTCCCGCTAAATTTAGCGAAAAGTTTTACTCTCGTGACGTGGTTGAGTGGGTTCACACGTGACGTCACGTGCGATGTCAAGAGGGTAAAATTTATCGGGAAAATTTTTAGCGGTAAAAAGTTTTCCGATAAATTTGGCGGGAAAATTTTCCCGACAAATTAAGCGGGGAAATTTTGCCCTCGTGGCATCACGTGTGACGTCATTATGGGAAACGTCCCATAATGCAACGTGCGGTTACGCCGACGGCGACGCCGCTCAAGTCGGAAACGAGCGCCTAAGAGCTGGGCTGTAAAATCGTTTCATGGCTCCTTTAGCCTGTCACCGACTATGGATAGTTTTGGTGTGGATTCACGTCAATGACGCGGCTTCACAAGAGTTGACAACGTCGACGTTTCCGCGTAATTGACTGTTTTCACCTCACGAAAAAAAGAGACGTTTTGCTCAATGTTCCTACGCCGC